ACTTTACACCTTATCAGCCCCTCATCAACCTGCAACAGAGCCCAGAGGCTTACTGAGGCAGAAAAGTTAACTAGGGTCTCTGGGCCAAGTAATGGTTTCACTGGGATGGGGCCATGCCACATATCCAGCACTTGTTCAAAAGCTGGGTGAGCGGGATTATCTCAGAGCAGCCACACACTGCCATGGGCACTCAGAGTGGGGCTGGAAATCAGTGTTAGAGATGCATGGAATGGGTCACTGTGAATGGCATTAGCAGCTCTGCCCGCTACACACGTTGGAGCCATAGGAACAAGCCATCTGGCAGCTCTGACCCCTTATTCCTGTTTTGCTGGGCACACTCCTTAGCAATGCCGTACACAGGGTAAACTGAACTGTGCCTCTCAGCCATGCTTTTACCAAAGTGTCCTCTTTGCTGACAGCTGTGCACTCTGGGTGTAGTGGTGTAGTTGGTATAGTGGGTGACAGAAAGCTGGCATTGCAAGGTGGGGACTGTCAAACTTGTGTGTGCAGTCTGTTTTGTAGTCAAGGGAGTGACATGTGCCCCCTTTTCACGAGTTGCTCATTATTAGTAATTCCCGCAATATGGTTGGTTCTAGGGATAACCTGAGAGAGGTGCGGAACGGACTTACTCTGAATTCTTCAGGGCCTTTTTAGTCAGAATCATAGAAAGCCAGGGTCGGAAGGGACCTCAAGAGGTCATCTACTCCAACCCCCTGCTCAAAGCAGGACTATCCCCAACTATATCACTCCAGGCAAGGCTTTGTGTTGCTGGGTCTTAAAAACCTCCAAGGATTCCATAACCACTTTGGGTAACCTATTCCAGTATTTTACTACTCTCCTTGTCAGAAAGTTGTTCCTAATATCTTTCCTAAACTTCCTTTACTGCACCTTGAGACCACTGCTTCTTGTTCTGTCATTTGCCACTGCTAGGAACAGTCTAGCTCCATCCTCTTTGGAGATGGTATGTGATCGCCATCCTGTAGTAGGGCTGTGCGAGGCTTTGGACAGAGCTTCGGACCTGGGGAAGCTCTGGACTCTTCAGGGTCGGAAGCAGCACATCCGGGTTGAAGCACTGGCCTCGTTAAGCTTCCCCAAGGGGTTCGGAGCTCCCAAAGAGCTTCAGAGCCGCCTCGGAGATCCGGCAATGGGGTATAATGGGGAAACAATAAAATATCTATAACTTTGTTGTTTTTTGTCCCCTTTGAATGAAATTTTCCGAGTTGGTAGACTCTACAGCAAGGATGAAGCCTGACAAGTTTCAAGAAGATTGGTGCAGGAGTTTGGGGGGGAACAGCACCCCAATTTCTTGAAAGCAAAACTCATGTCATGTCTATGTATTACACTACAGGGGGGTCAAAACTGCAGAGGTGGTAGCTCTTACTGAGGCCACAAAGTCTGCCAAGTTTCAAGAAGATCGATGCAGGGAGTTGGGGGCAACTGCCCCTCAAGCTGCAGACAAACAAAATGGTGCCATGGGTGCCGTGGGACTGACTGTCTTGGTGCGGGGAGACACTACTGCAGGCCTGGCTGCTAAGTTGGGGGCAACTGCCCCTCAAGCTGCAGACAAACAAAATGGTGCCATGGGTGCCGTGGGACTGACTGTCTTGGTGCGGGGAGACACTACTGCAGGCCTGGCTGCTAAGGTACTGTGTTACCAGTTACCAATCAATCATGATTCACTCAGGGACCAGGCACTCAGGGACCAGCTCAAGACACAGGACCTAGCTACTACATAAGGACTTAACGAGCATCAATTAACACCAACAAAACCAGACTAGGGAGAGGAAAGACTCGATACAGACAAACAACTGCCCCAAGACAGACATAGTCTTGGCCCGAGTTTTGCCCGTCAGCAGCTAGGGGTACAGGGCCCCAGACTCCCCTGCACCAATCTCCTCGTCAGCTGGCAGGCATCACAGGAGGGGTCACCATCCCTGCAGCTGTTACCCCGCTGCGCCTTAACACACGCAGTGTCACCTATGGAATAAGTTTTGCTTGCCACAGCTTGAGGGGCAGTTCCCCCCAAGCCCCTACACCGATCTCCTTGAAACTCAGCAGGCTTTGTGGCCTCAGTAAGAGCTACCATCCCTGCAGTTTTCACCCCCCCGTGGTGCAACACACAACCGTGACATGAGTTTGGCTTTCAAACATTTGGGGTACAATTCCCCCCAAACCCCTGTACTGAGCGTCTTGAAAATTGGTAGGTTTCATGCTCTTAGCAGAGGCTACCATCCCTGCAAGTTTCATCCAAATAGGACAAAAAACAACCAAGTTATAAATATTTCATTGATTCCACATTATACCCTATGGCCGGATTGAGGTGGAAACCGGGTCCGGAGCTCCGGATCGGATCATGGCCATCCGAAGCGGCCGGATCTGAAGCTGGATTGGATCGCTGCCGACTTGCATAGGCCTACCCTGCAGCTCTTTGCTTGAATGTCAGACATCATCTTTGAGGTCAAGGGCCAATATGCCACCTCCGATGGAGCGGTAAAGACAGGCCGGTGATGCATCCTCCACCCACGATGGCCTCTGGATCCCTACTCTTGTATTCTCTTTCTCCTGATGACCCTTTATTTCTGGGTAACTTTGCTTGGCCTCCCTGTGGTCATCATACTGTCCACATTCCACACTGTCAGCATAATTCTTTGTTTCTTAAACACATCACATGCATACATCTTCATTTGGTCATTTGTTGGTGTCTTAATTTGGGTATCCCACAAAAACTGGAGATCCCAGAGGCTTTGCAGCTGGTTACTGTGACCTGATGCTAATTCTGCAGGTTTTCAGTTTCGCAGGATGTACGTGCCTGTTTGTCTGCCAGCTTTGGACACAGTGTCTGCTAAAATGCTGAGAATTTGAATCTTTGTCACAAATTGACTTTAGAAACCAATTAACCCTTGCCATTCCCCTGGACCATGGTTCTAAAGCAATATTTACTCTACCTACAAGCCAGTTTCTAAAAGCAAATTTCTAAATATCATTTTCTAGCCATCAGCCTTACCCTCCAGCATATCTACTACTCCCTGCAGCTTGGTGTCATCTGCAAACTTGCTCTGAGGGTGCACACCATCCCATCTTCCAGATCATTGATGAAAATATTGAACAAATCCAACCCCAGGACCGACCCTGGGGCATTCCACTTGATACTGGCTACCAACTAGACAGCGAGCCATTGATTACTACCTCCCAAGCCCAATGCTTCAGCCGGTTTTCTAGCCATCTTAGTCTATTCATCCAGCCCATACTTTCTTAGCTTGCTTGCAAGAATTTTGTGGTGGACTGTATCAAGTCTTGCTAAAGTCTACTGCTCTCTGTGCATCCACAAAACCAGTCATCTCATCATAGAAGGTGATCAGGTTGTTCACTCATGACTTGCCCTTGGTGAATCGAAGATGACTGTTCCTAATCACCTTCTCCTCCTCCAAGTGCTTAGAAATTGATTCCTTGAGGACCTACTCCAACAAGAATTTTCTGGTGGACTGTATCAAGTCTTGCTAAAGTCTACTGCTCTCTGTGCATCCACAAAACCAGTCATCTCATCATAGAAGGTGATCAGGTTGTTCACTCATGACTTGCCCTTGGTGAATCGAAGATGACTGTTCCTAATCACCTTCTCCTCCTCCAAGTGCTTAGAAATTGATTCCTTGAGGACCTACTCCATGATCTTTCCAGGGACTGCAGTGAGTCTCACTGGTCTGTAGTTCTCTGAATCCTCCTTCTTCCCTTTCTTAAAGATGAGCACTATATCTGCCCTTTTCCAATTGTCCAGGACCTCTCCCACTTTTAGCCTGTGCCTGGTTTTTGAGCACTGCTCCAGGCAGCTCTGGAGTTCATCACACCTTTTCCTGGGTCAACCCTGGCTAATCACTGGCTTCACTGTGTGTTGTGTCACCTTCTTTTGGCTGACCCCATTCTCTATACCAGCTGCAGTGAATTATGAGGACCTACATTTGATGCCTGCTGACAGCAGTGGCACATTGGAACATGAATGTGAGTGTGCACAGGGGGCCACAGTCTATTACACCATTATGGTACTATCTGACTGGTGCAGAGGACAGTAACCCCCTCAGAAAATGTCTGCAGGTGCCGGCAGTTAGCCCTTCACTTGGTGAAGGAGAAAGCTCAAGAGCCAGGCACCTTGTAAGCATGCTGGTAATGACCTTGATCCAGTTGGTTGGCTCATAGGTGCTTTTTCAGCTGGGCTAAAGTTATGGTTACAGCCACAGAATTTTCTCCTGGTTGATACCACTTGCAGCCACTCAGTAAATCTTCTTCCCTGGAATGGTAAGAGCCATGGTGTTGGCAGGGGCTATGAGGTGAAAGTGTTTACTGGTACCTAAGATTCTGAAACAGATGCAGCAGCTTGGGCAGCCTGGATACACTGTGCTTGGTGGAACAGGTAGGATGTACACAGCCTGCCACAGTGGCCATGGGATACCAGAGAGGTACAGAGAGCTAACAGCCCTTCCCCCTCAGTCACAGCCTGTGGGTAGTAATTGCAGTATTGCCAACCCCTGGCATTATGAGGTTTTTAAAAATTAGAAATGTGGATTTGTTGTTGCCTGCTTGGTATTTTTTAAATGTTGCAATATACAATTCTCCTGTGAGGCACATGGGAGCAGAATGGCTAAGACATCTTGCCCACGCTACAGAGAAAAGAGTTTGAGCTCTGCTCCAGACTTGTGCCATAGGCCACCCCCAGTTGACTTGGGTATAGATAGGTCTTCAGTCACTGGAGCTGGGGATTCCAAGGAAGATAGACATGATGGAGGTCAGATCACTCCCTTACCTATTGGTGGCTACAAAAAATGGCATTTCTCAATCATGTTGGTCTTATGGGCTGTTAGGCTTAAGTGGATCCTTGGCCTTGATGATTCTCCTATAATTCCACGAGTGCCAAAGCTGGGTCTTTATGGAAAACAGCAAACATGGCAAGACATGATACAAGCATGGAACCTGCCAACACTGTTACCTTCTCTCCTCTGCTTCCCTTCCAGATGTTTGGGGCCTTTTCTTCCACCTCAATACGAGTCAGCAGCAGCTTTTATGGTACAGGGGAGACTTTCCTCTTCTCCTTCTCCCCAGAGTTAAAGGTGAAGGTGATGCTCATATTCTGTGTGTGTGTAGTCTGGAATAAGCTTGTGCCTCTCAGTGACTGTTACTGAAGAGTGGAAACAGAAGTCTCTGCTGGCTAAGGCCCAGTACAGCTTGGGCCCATGAGGAGGTGGGGTACATTCATGCTCAGAAGTAGAGGGCAAAATCCCAAGAATTTCTGCTTCCCCCTCCCCTCCAGATATGTGTCACGGTGCCCTTCCTGCTCCAGAGCAGCAGCTTTGGATTGGTCAGCTACTCAGCTATGTGGGGAGACCAAGAAGGTGAAGTGAGATATCCCTTCCCTTTTCACCTAAGGCCTTATTTCACTCTCTGATGCTGGTAGCTGTTTTCTGTCATAGCACCAGAAGTGACAGAAACTAACTGTTGGAGGCTCTCCCAGCTCTAGGGACACCAGGCTAGCTTCTGCAAGTAATGGGCCTGGCCTGTGCAGTTCTTGAACTTCCATTAGGATCCCCCTTTATCCCTTAGTGCTCATTCCTGCCCAGTGCTGAGGGTAAGTAATGGGAATTCATGGGGCCCAGAGGCACTGCCCCCTGGTAATGAAGAACCTCCTGTCTGGAGGAGGGGGCATGCTGCCAAACCCCTCATCAGTGTAAAAGGAATTATCCTTAAGTACGTGCCTCCCCTGACATGACCTCTCCCTGCCTTTCCCCACCAAATACTCTTAAGATTAGGGGAGCAACATGCTGGGTCCAGGCTCTGCTCAGCTTTGCACCAAGCCCCCTGCACTGAAATACAGCTGCCCTCTGCTGCACACTGAATGAATGGTAGGAGCAAAGCTAGTCTGCATCAGGCAGGGTCCATTACTGTAGTTAAGCAGGCTTCTTGACCAGAGTGGCTGTTCCTGAGAGCCTGGAGGAAAGGAAGCCTCCGCAGGGTCCCACAGGCTGTTTGCTGGGGGTCACCAAACCAATGGGAGTTACTTCTTGACATAATTACATTCAGACCCCTCCTTTGGCAACCTACAAATACACAGTCTGAGCTCAGAGCTTCTCCAGTTCCTCTGTCAGCCTATCTAAAAATGGCCACACAACATCACTGCTGAACTAACCCCATCCTCAAGATGCCATTGCCTTCACAGGAGTGTTCCATTAGCAGGAATAATTGCTAAGAGGTAATTCCTCCACATAGAAATTAAATTGCTGAATTCATTATAAGTAAATGAATAATTTAGAATCTAATTATTGGAAATTGCTAAACATTATTACAAACAATGGGCAGAATCAGGTTATTTTGCACTCCCAGGGGTCTGTACATCCTGCCGTGGCTGAGACAGGACTCCTCTTGAAGCTGTTTCCTATGGGATAACCTGGAAGTCTTGTCTTTGGGCCACTTAGAAGCATCACAAAGGTACAGAACATGTGAGCTGCTGGTTTGAGTAGGACAGGAAGGAGCACACTAACTTTCCAGTTGCACATCTTAGTTTTGTCAGGGTCTGGTGAAGTAAGTGAGGCCAGATGGGCCCTATGCTATCAAGGCACAGCACATCCTTAGTGAGCACATCAAGTTATTCTCAGTACAGGAATCCATGGAGTAGGCTCAAGTGTCAGATGATCCATCCTTTTTCCTACGCAGTCCTAAAGTGACTTTGTGTGTGTAATGTAGGTCAAAACTACAATAGTTAGTGTCCCCTGGAAAGCTAGCAGCACTGTCTCAATCCCTGGCTTGAATTATGCTGTCTAAAAACCTTAAAACATCTATCTGAGGCTGTATTCAGTTCTGGTGTAAGCTGGTATTAACGCTCTGTCTGCAGAAAGCTGCCGCACTCTCCCCACCTGCACCAGGGCTGAGATTTTTTTCCTTGTTTGTTTTTAACCTACGGTTTGCTGAATAATTCCTTCTCCCATAGACTGACTGGAGCCAGAAGCAACCCATGAGTCCAGGAAGAGGAAGAAGGGATAAGGATAATACCAGGAGTAATGGGGATAATTGATTCTGTGGTTATATACAAACTTGGGAATCCCCCAGCCTAGATAAACACTTTTGTTGATTTGGAGCTGAGGTTGCTCATGTGGAAATCTCAATATGGCACCTAGGAACTCCTCTGCTTACTCCCTCCTCCTACTCCTTTGCCAGAATACACAGCTCTTCTTGCACTTAACTTCCACCCACCTACCCATCACTCACAGGCCACATCATGAATCTTGCTCTTACTCACAGTGAATACAGAAAAGTGTACATTTCTGGCCTTGTCCTGGCAGTGGCTGGTGTTTTTAGAATGAGCAGACAGTCTCTTGAGTATGATATATGTTGTTTTTCTGTACTTCAGTGTGGTTCTGTGGTAGGAGAATGGGGGAAGGATAAGTACTAATATGGTATTATGTCCACTCCTCCCCCCCTCACCTGCCCAGCCCAGGAAGTTCTAAGGAACTATATGGAGAATAACTCAAGATCACTCCAACACTATCAGAAAACATTGGAGTTTTTACAATGGAAGCTGAGAGCTTCCTGGCTGGAAACCAAAACATATCTTTTCAGGCTTAAGCATTGGTACATCCTGGAAGCTATGGTTTGGTTGCATTCTCCTCTCTGGACCAGGCTCGCTAGTCAGATTATGTTTCTCAAGATGCAGTACTTCCTTTTTGAAGGGAGGATGTATCAGACAAGTCCCTGTCCATGGTACATCACCGGAAATGATGCAGCCCATCCAGAAGGGACAGTATAGGGAGGAGAATAGAAGCATGAAGAACGTGGAGTGTGACTCCCCATGAAGTACAGTGGAGCATTTTAGAAGAAAGAATTTCAGATTTCATTTTCTTTCTTTCTTCATAACATATTAACACTTGTCATGGAAATCAGAGACTCTGGAGAAAATGCCATTTAGTCCAAAGCCCCCAAACCCAGTTTTCCACAAAAAATTCAGTTCTTTGCTGTGGTCATGCTAGGAACCTCTGTAAAATTGATTTAGGGTTATATGAGGAATCACAGTCTAAGAACTGGATGGCACGGGTTCACATGAATGGAGAGGGTGAAGAGGCAGTCTACTGTGGGGGAAGTTGGAGGCATGAGGAGAAGCAGTGTGTTGTGCACAGGGAAAGGGACACTTGCCTAGGGATATCCTAGGATTGCTGTGGGTATGCATCTGAGATTTGAATGGGAGTAAACTTCAGTCTCAGCAAAGGAAGTGCTGCATTTGCCCAAATACTACTTGGTTTAGGTCAGACATTGCTGGGAGAAGGGGTGTTTAGCAGAAGGCAACAGTTAGGAAGTTACCATCTTTACTGAGAATATAACTAGGAGTCTAAGCTATGTGGAGCAGGATGGTAGGGAGTCCCTGAGGCTGTCAGTGTCTGCTCAGGTCTCTGTGCTATGTGTTTTTCCAGGACAGAAGGGAGTCTCCACTCATCTGTTCAGTGAGATCTTGATGCATAAATGGTACCTTTCCCTCTCCCTGCTGCTTTTCTCAGTGGAAGCAGGGCTCCCAAACAGAGCAGATTTTGATGGTGGGGAGACTCTAATTAGGGGTGTGTGAAGCTTCAGTCTGGATTTGATTCAGAGAAGATTTGGCCTGATTTGGAGGCTGAATCCCCGAATCTAATTGGAAGAAGAAAAAAACCCTCTGAATTAATTCAGAGGCTCTGAATCAATTTGGAAAAGATTCAGTGATTCAGAGATTCAGAAGGCAGTCTTTCAAGGGAACAGAAACTGAGAAAAGGGATGGGGAGTGGGGGGGGGGAAGACTGACATCTGTAGCTGGCTAGTGACTGTGATCTTTCCCTGAGTCCCCTTCCAATCACAGTGCTCTGTGGGAGGGACATAGAAACAGAATATAAGCCTCTGTCTGCATGCTTTCTGTGCCTTTTGTGAGCTGTTTCTGCCTGAGCAACAGCATCTGAAAGGTACTGGACTGGCTTGGCTTCCTACCTAGTCAGTCTCCTGCTACTTGCTGTTCTTGGAAAGGATTGGATATAGCTTACTAACTAGAATCCCTCTACTTATCTGTATCCAATCCATTTCTTTCAATTTATATTTGTTCTTGCTTGGTTTTTTTCCAACACTTTTTAAAAAGAAAGCTATGTTTTCCCTGGCAGTGTAATCCATCACTTACTATTAGTTATAGTTACATACAGACTAAAGACAACACAGATGAAGTCATATAGAGATTCAGATTATTAAACACAACACAGAAGGGAAGCACATACATTACACACACTCAAACACATACATCATAGAAGAAGAAGTCAGGTATTATTAAATAGAACACAACACAGAAGAAGTCAGACAGTCATAGAAGAAGAGATTATATATAGTTACTATTAGTTATAGTTACATACAGACTAAAGACAACACAGATGAAGTCATATAGAGATTCAGATTATTAAACACAACACAGAAGCCAGACAGTCATAGAAGAAGAGATATTATTTTAGTTACACACTCAACAGTAAACACAACACAGAAGTCAGACACAGTCATACATCAGAGGAGAAGAAGAAGAAGACGTAAATTATTAGTTAGTTACACAAACAGACACATTTTCCAGCACAGGTAAGATTAATATGAAGCGTGCTGGAAAGGCAGGTGGCCTGGCCAGGCCAATGAACTTCACTTCATCAGCCTCCTAGGTACAGAAACTCATGGACTCAATATGGACATTGGATTTATGACACGCTACAACCTGCCAGACATCTGACTCCCCAGGTACCTCTCCACTTTTACCTGCTACATCCCCCTTCCCCCTACCCCAGTCTGTCTCTCTCACCCCCTGACACCTCCATTTCCACTTTCACTAACTGGCTTTTCTGCTTGCATTGCATGCCAGCCTCTGGCTTCTTTACTATTCCTTCCATCCAGGAACAGCACACACACCAACTGCAGGTGCTTCCTTAGCCTGAAAAAGGGTTTTCAACCTGAAAGCTTGCTAAGATATATTTCTCTAACTATTCAGTTGGTCTACTAAGAGATAGATACCAGATTGACTCAAATAACATTGTCTGCCAGTGCCATGTCCTTAGATGAACACCCCTAGCACCTGTCTCTGGTCAGCTGACCAGAAGGATGCAGGGCCCTGGGCACATCTAAACCCCAGGGCTATGGCTAGCAAAGAGAGTTCTCTGGTGGGTGCTGGAGAAGAAGCTCCTGCAGGAAAGGAAGGAAAGGCTCTATTCTGTGACAGTTTGGCTGCCTGAGATTCTAGTACTACTGTGCTGCATTACACTGCTCACCTGTTGTTATTTAAAGTGGTGGTCCAGACTGAGTCTGTAGGGGAGGAGGAGACCTCATTGGGGCACACTGCCATGTTGTGTAGAGGCCCCAGCACCAGTGAGGGCATGCCTCAACACACACATACACAGTCACACAGTAAGGGCACACCTTAAGACACATGCTGGAGAAGAAGATCCTGCAGAAGAGGAAAGAAAGGGTCTGTGACAGTTTGGCTGCCTGAGATGCTGCTGGTGCTACTATTCTAGTGCTCACTAAGTTATTTTATTAACTGTAGTCATTTAAAGTGGGGGACCAGGCTGAGGCTGCAGGGGAGGAGGAGACCTCATTGGGGCACACTACCGTGTCATGTAGGGGCCCCAGCGCCAGTGAGCATGTGCCTTAACACACACACAGTGTCACCCATGTCACGAGTTTTGCTTGTCAGCAGCCTGAGGTGCAGTTTCCCAGAACCCCAGCCCCACCCCCCCCAACCTATCTCTTTGAAATCTGTCAGGCTCCATGGCCTCAGCAGAGACTAGCATGCCTGCAGTTTTCACCCCACTGCACCTTAACACACACACGTGACATGAGTTTTGCTTGTCAGCAGCTTGAGGTGCAGTTTTCCAGAAACCCCTGCACCTATCTCCTTGAAACTTGGCAGGCCCCATGCCCTCAGAAGGGGCTACCTACCATCACTGCTGTTTTCATCTAAATCTGCTTTAACATACACACAACCTGAGTTTAGCTTTCAGCAGTTTGAGGTGCAGTTTCCCAGAAACGCCTCCAGCTATCTCCTTGAAACTTGGCAAGCTTTGTGCCCTCAGAAGGAGCTATGAGCCCTGCATTTTTTATCTGAATCAGCCAAAACATGACAAAGTTGTAGGTATTTCAGTGATTCCCCATTATAGTCTATGGCCGAATCTCTGAATCTCTCCAAATTAGCGCCAAATTTTTCGAAGCTGATTCAGTTGAATCGATTCAGGACAGTGTTCCAAATCTCCAGATTGAATCACTGTCCTCTGAATCAGCCAAATCCGAATCCAAATCAAATACTTCCCTATTCGCACAGGCCTAACTCTAATTGATGCAATGGTGCTTTAAGCTGTAATCTGAATAGGGCCTCTTGGAGAACTCCACTCTGGTTGAGAATGAATTCTTCCTTTGAAACCATTCCAGACTATATGGGAGGGTTGGGATATTCAGGTCACTTCCAGGTCAGCTTCTTTCTCTAGAGTCATACTATCTGATTGCAACAACAAAGCAGGTGTTCTTTTGTAGTCAGTTGTGTGCTGTTGGCACCATGCTCAGCATTGGCTGGGGGCTGCAGACTGAGCTTCAGTGGGTGCTTCTCCTTACCTAATGGACTCACTCCAGGGTAACTTAGTGGGGCCAGGTGAGGAGCACTACTTCATCAGCTGTTAGTTTAGTTGTTAATGAACCAAGAAGCTAATTAAAGCCCTGGGTTTTTGGTTGTAGCCATGTTGGTCTAAGAACATATGCAAGAAAGGTTCTTTGAGTAGATGTGATATCTCTTATTAGACTAACTGAGTAGTTGGAAAAAAAGTTCTTAGCAAGCTTTCAGGTGCAGTCATGCTTCTTCAGGAATAAGAAATCTAATTAAAGCCTCGAGCATTTTTACCCTCCTTTTGTGCTGCATTCTACTGCCTGGTGGATTTCAGCATGTTCCTATTTAAGTGGCTCTTCCAGCTTAGGAAATGCTAAGGACCAGGCTCTTCAATCACCCTTTAGGAGACAGGAACCCCCACTACTGAAGGAAACAAAGGAAATCTAGGCCACCAGGAATGAGAATGGAGCTGGTGCTGGAACTTCCCTGTCCACTGTAGGCCAACTTTCAGGCCAGTATTGGGGGCTCATTTGCACATGGTCAAAGGGGCCTGATCAAGGGCTGTTTCATGCACAACCAATTACTTGGCACATTGCAACAGCCATCTCACATGATCATTACCTGAATCAAACCCCAAGAAATCATGTGACTGGCCTGGAAGATTTTGCAAAATAACAAATGTTTGTTCTTAATATTGCTTTGTCACAGTTTTTAGAGAGCAGTCAGGTCAGTTTGCCCAACTTCTGGCTGAAACCACAAAAGCTAGTGGCTTTCTTCTTCTGAGAAACCTGAAATTTGGCTGTATCCAAGTAATTCCAGGAACTGGCAACTTCAGACATGCGACACAATCATGAGAATTGGCAACATTTAGGATGCTGACCACTGACAATAGGATGCACCTATGCAGCATAGGTGTCACCTGAATCTTGACCACAGGCCGCCTCTCTTTGCTGTTGTGGGTAGCTGCTAGGTGAAACTGGCAAGTGCCACTTTCACAGAGCAGGGGAAGGGAGAGTTCAAATTACTTTTAGTTGAGTTGGAGCTGTTCCCCTCCTCCCAGAAACTGTGATTTTCCAGACTCCTGACATTGGAGAAGCCAGAGAAAATTCTGCGCCCAGTGACTCCATCCAGGGTTTTACACCAAGTCTTTAGAGCTTGGAAAGGACTGTGCACAGGCTCCCAAACCAATTCAGTTCAATACTGTACTGCAGTATTGTGGTCCAAGGACCACATCTTCAGCTGGGATGCACCAGCAGTCTAAGCAGGGCCAAGGCAAGCCACTCATGAGCAGCTTTCTCCACACATTAGCAAACCCACCCGGCATTCTCCCAGCCCATGCTTTGACTGTTGTTGTTTGTTTCTCCCTGTAGGTGTTCAAGTGGACAGGCAGCAACACCTTCTTCATGAAAGGAGATGCAGATTTGCTTGTGATTGGCGGGGGCAGGTATGTAGCCACTTGCGATGCAGATACTTCATGTGGAGCGAAGTTCTATGGCCCATTCTAACTAGATGATCCTCCAGGCCTTTCTGGCTTTAACATTCAGTCAATGGCTGCTGTACCACAGAGGGCAGCTCTGCAGGGAGACAAGCACAACATGATGTCCCCACAGCCAGCACTGATGGTCAGGCAAGAATCAGAATTGGCTTGATGGGCTAATGGAGCTCTCCTCTGAGCAGCAGGAGTCTCAGGCTGTATGTGCCACCTGCTGACTGTATGGCCTAACAGAGCCAGCTCTGGCAGGTACCTGTTAGAGGCAGCTCCAGTGCAGGTTTTACACTCTGTGTAGACAAACCTGAACTAACCTTCAGCTACTCTGTCATGTGCTGACACTGTATAGCATAGAGTTCAGCACAGACTAGCCACCTAGCCACTCACCTTCTCAGGTGGATTTTGCAGCCTATACTGAGCAGCATGCTGTGACATCCCAGTAAGTTAGTTTAAAGCTATCTCAAAAATGCCTGCATGACCTGCATCACACTATGACTGCAGTGCAGGCAGACCTGGAGTCAGGCCTGTTCTGAGACTGGCTGCTGATGCACCATGTAACACTGGGAAGGATGAATGGGTAGAGAATGGATCCAGGTGGATCTGGACAGGTTGGGAAAATGGACAGAATGAAATAGGATGCAGTTCAACAAAGACAAGTGCAAAATGCTGCACCTGGGCAAAAATAACTATCAGTATACTTACAGGCTGGGGGATGACCTCAGCAGCCCAGCAGCGGAAAGGGATCTTGGAGTCATAGTTGACTCCAAGATGAACATGAGTTGTCAATGTGATGAAGTGGTATTATTAAATAGAACACAACACAGAAGAAGTCAGACAGTCATAGAAGAAGAGATATTATTTTAGTTACACACTCAACAGTAAACACAACACAGAAGTCAGACACAGTCATACATCAGAGGAGAAGAAGAAGAAGACGTAAATTATTAGTTAGTTACACAAACAGACACATTTTCCAGCACAGGTAAGATTAATATGAAGCGTGCTGGAAAGGCAGGTGGCCTGGCCAGGCCAATGAACTTCACTTCATCAGCCTCCTAGGTACAGAAACTCATGGACTCAATATGGACATTGGATTTATGACACGCTACAACCTGCCAGACATCTGACTCCCCAGGTACCTCTCCACTTTTACCTGCTACATCCCCCTTCCCCCTACCCCAGTCTGTCTCTCTCACCCCCTGACACCTCCATTTCCACTTTCACTAACTGGCTTTTCTGCTTGCATTGCATGCCAGCCTCTGGCTTCTTTACTATTCCTTCCATCCAGGAACAGCACACACACCAACTGCAGGTGCTTCCTTAGCCTGAAAAAGGGTTTTCAACCTGAAAGCTTGCTAAGATATATTTCTCTAACTATTCAGTTGGTCTACTAAGAGATAGATACCAGATTGACTCAAATAACATTGTCTGCCAGTGCCATGTCCTTAGATGAACACCCCTAGCACCTGTCTCTGGTCAGCTGACCAGAAGGATGCAGGGCCCTGGGCACATCTAAACCCCAGGGCTATGGCTAGCAAAGAGAGTTCTCTGGTGGGTGCTGGAGAAGAAGCTCCTGCAGGAAAGGAAGGAAAGGCTCTATTCTGTGACAGTTTGGCTGCCTGAGATTCTAGTACTACTGTGCTGCATTACACTGCTCACCTGTTGTTATTTAAAGTGGTGGTCCAGACTGAGTCTGTAGGGGAGGAGGAGACCTCATTGGGGCACACTGCCATGTTGTGTAGAGGCCCCAGCACCAGTGAGGGCATGCCTCAACACACACATACACAGTCACACAGTAAGGGCACACCTTAAGACACATGCTGGAGAAGAAGATCCTGCAGAAGAGGAAAGAAAGGGTCTGTGACAGTTTGGCTGCCTGAGATGCTGCTGGTGCTACTATTCTAGTGCTCACTAAGTTATTTTATTAACTGTAGTCATTTAAAGTGGGGGACCAGGCTGAGGCTGCAGGGGAGGAGGAGACCTCATTGGGGCACACTACCGTGTCATGTAGGGGCCCCAGCGCCAGTGAGCATGTGCCTTAACACACACACAGTGTCACCCATGTCACGAGTTTTGCTTGTCAGCAGCCTGAGGTGCAGTTTCCCAGAACCCCAGCCCCACCCCCCCCAACCTATCTCTTTGAAATCTGTCAGGCTCCATGGCCTCAGCAGAGACTAGCATGCCTGCAGTTTTCACCCCACTGCACCTTAACACACACACGTGACATGAGTTTTGCTTGTCAGCAGCTTGAGGTGCAGTTTTCCAGAAACCCCTGCACCTATCTCCTTGAAACTTGGCAGGCCCCATGCCCTCAGAAGGGGCTACCTACCATCACTGCTGTTTTCATCTAAATCTGCTTTAACATACACACAACCTGAGTTTAGCTTTCAGCAGTTTGAGGTGCAGTTTCCCAGAAACGCCTCCAGCTATCTCCTTGAAACTTGGCAAGCTTTGTGCCCTCAGAAGGAGCTATGAGCCCTGCATTTTTTATCTGAATCAGCCAAAACATGACAAAGTTGTAGGTATTTCAGTGATTCCCCATTATAGTCTATGGCCGAATCTCTGAATCTCTCCAAATTAGCGCCAAATTTTTCGAAGCTGATTCAGTTGAATCGATTCAGGACAGTGTTCCAAATCTCCAAATTGAATCACTGTCCTCTGAATCAGCCAAATCCGAATCCAAATCAAATACTTCCCTATTCGCACAGGCCTAACTCTAATTGATGCAATGGTGCTTTAAGCTGTAATCTGAATAGGGCCTCTTGGAGAACTCCACTCTGGTTGAGAATGAATTCTTCCTTTGAAACCATTCCAGACTATATGGGAGGGTTGGGATATTCAGGTCACTTCCAGGTCAGCTTCTTTCTCTAGAGTCATACTATCTGATTGCAACAACAAAGCAGGTGTTCTTTTGTAGTCAGTTGTGTGCTGTTGGCACCATGCTCAGCATTGGCTGGGGGCTGCAGACTGAGCTTCAGTGGGTGCTTCTCCTTACCTAATGGACTCACTCCAGGGTAACTTAGTGGGGCCAGGTGAGGAGCACTACTTCATCAGCTGTTAGTTTAGTTGTTAATGAACCAAGAAGCTAATTAAAGCCCTGGGTTTTTGGTTGTAGCCATGTTGGTCTAAGAACATATGCAAGAAAGGTTCTTTGAGTAGATGTGATATCTCTTATTAGACTAACTGAGTAGTTGGAAAAAAAGTTCTTAGCAAGCTTTCAGGTGCAGTCATGCTTCTTCAGGAATAAGAAATCTAATTAAAGCCTCGAGCATTTTTACCCTCCTTTTGTGCTGCATTCTACTGCCTGGTGGATTTCAGCATGTTCCTATTTAAGTGGCTCTTCCAGCTTAGGAAATGCTAAGGACCAGGCTCTTCAATCACCCTTTAGGAGACAGGAACCCCCACTACTGAAGGAAACAAAGGAAATCTAGGCCACCAGGAATGAGAATGGAGCTGGTGCTGGAACTTCCCTGTCCACTGTAGGCCAACTTTCAGGCCAGTATTGGGGGCTCATTTGCACATGGTCAAAGGGGCCTGATCAAGGGCTGTTTCATGCACAACCAATTACTTGGCACATTGCAACAGCCATCTCACATGATCATTACCTGAATCAAACCCCAAGAAATCATGTGACTGGCCTGGAAGATTTTGCAAAATAACAAATGTTTGTTCTTAATATTGCTTTGTCACAGTTTTTAGAGAGCAGTCAGGTCAGTTTGCCCAACTTCTGGCTGAAACCACAAAAGCTAGTGGCTTTCTTCTTCTGAGAAACCTGAAATTTGGCTGTATCCAAGTAATTCCAGGAACTGGCAACTTCAGACATGCGACACAATCATGAGAATTGGCAACATTTAGGATGCTGACCACTGACAATAGGATGCACCTATGCAGCATAGGTGTCACCTGAATCTTGACCACAGGCCGCCTCTCTTTGCTGTTGTGGGTAGCTGCTAGGTGAAACTGGCAAGTGCCACTTTCACAGAGCAGGGGAAGGGAGAGTTCAAATTACTTTTAGTTGAGTTGGAGCTGTTCCCCTCCTCCCAGAAACTGTGATTTTCCAGACTCCTGACATTGGAGAAGCCAGAGAAAATTCTGCGCCCAGTGACTCCATCCAGGGTTTTACACCAAGTCTTTAGAGCTTGGAAAGGACTGTGCACAGGCTCCCAAACCAATTCAGTTCAATACTGTACTGCAGTATTGTGGTCCAAGGACCACATCTTCAGCTGGGATGCACCAGCAGTCTAAGCAGGGCCAAGGCAAGCCACTCATGAGCAGCTTTCTCCACACATTAGCAAACCCACCCGGCATTCTCCCAGCCCATGCTTTGACTGTTGTTGTTTGTTTCTCCCTGTAGGTGTTCAAGTGGACAGGCAGCAACACCTTCTTCATGAAAGGAGATGCAGATTTGCTTGTGATTGGCGGGGGCAGGTATGTAGCCACTTGCGATGCAGATACTTCATGTGGAGCGAAGTTCTATGGCCCATTCTAACTAGATGATCCTCCAGGCCTTTCTGGCTTTAACATTCAGTCAATGGCTGCTGTACCACAGAGGGCAGCTCTGCAGGGAGACAAGCACAACATGATGTCCCCACAGCCAGCACTGATGGTCAGGCAAGAATCAGAATTGGCTTGATGGGCTAATGGAGCTCTCCTCTGAGCAGCAGGAGTCTCAGGCTGTATGTGCCACCTGCTGACTGTATGGCCTAACAGAGCCAGCTCTGGCAGGTACCTGTTAGAGGCAGCTCCAGTGCAGGTTTTACACTCTGTGTAGACAAACCTGAACTAACCTTCAGCTACTCTGTCATGTGCTGACACTGTATAGCATAGAGTTCAGCACAGACTAGCCACCTAGCCACTCACCTTCTCAGGTGGATTTTGCAGCCTATACTGAGCAGCATGCTGTGACATCCCAGTAAGTTAGTTTAAAGCTATCTCAAAAATGCCTGCATGACCTG